GGTCTGCCAAGCAGTATAAAATGCATATTTGGCACAAAAAAACAATTTGTGTATTCTGCAAAAATTCCAAAGCTCTGTCATTTATATTATTTAAAATAAATACTTTCCTACATAAAATCCAAGTTGCAAAAGAAAAACGTTTAAAATAAAAATTTCGAACGAGAATAATCCGTTTGATTATCACAGACATTTGCAACATTTTTAGATTATACAACAGTTAAACCTTATACAGTAAAATCAATGTAATAGATTACCAAAAGAGACAAAATAGAAACGAAAATCAAGTCTGTGGCTGCTACAGATAACTGCTCTCCGTACCACAAAGAAAGTCGAAAAAACACTAAAGAAATATTTTCAGCTTCTTTTGTGTTATCTTTCAAGGGGCTGTTATAATGTAAGTATTTTTGCAGTTAACGAGGTCATCTGCTGACAGCAAGCGGAGTATGTCAAGAGGTGTGATAAAAATAGCCCATAAGCCTTGGAGCTGTAGGAAATGGAATCTTAGTTGTTGCAAGTAGGTGTCTCCTTTGAAGATATACCTGCCTACATTCTACTACTTGAAAAGTATTGACACAATGAGCACTCACAAGCTGAAATCGCAACATCCACCATTCGTTTTGATGGCACGCTCAAAGCGAGTCCTGAAAATAGCAAGATAATTAACTCTCCTGTTATTTACCTTTGTCAGGTACATAATTACTTGTTATAATATATCTTTATTAAATATATAACGAATATATCGGAAATAACATTAGGGTGCATATTTCCCACGTAAACGTAGTGATTACATTCTCTTTGACGCAACCCTTAAAATATATTTGTTGTCAGCCCGTCAGTTGGTCTTTCCGTCTGTCAAAATACCTTTTTCTTAAGAATTTGTACAAAGATAGAATACCAATTTCAAGGGATCGCTAGAAGGCACTGAATTGCAATGGTGAGGAGTTTAAGTGTGAAGAAACTGAAGAAAACGAAATGTGAAAAGTGAAGAAGGAGGACATGTGCGACAACAAGATGGCCGTATAGCATCTGTTTAAATATGTAAATGCAGTGGAGATTGGAATATCGACCTTCCACACCAATCCCTCAAAACATAATAAGCTTATATTTTAGCAGGGTTGTATATCTTTGATTATTTGTTTAAACTATTAAAAATAATATTTTCAATTATGTTTGTTCATTTGTCTTGTAAAGTGATACAATGTCCGCCTGCTGAGGACCTGCACCTATATTTCCTTTAAACAATTTTTTTTGTATCAGGCGATGCCTGAGACGCTCTAATTATTTTATAAATGAAAGTTCTGAATATATATCTTTCTTTAAGATTTTTATTAATCCTGTTTTATGCTAGATGTAAGATCGAATTTAAATTAGAAGAGTTGTATATTTAAGGATTCAAACCTGCGCCTTCTGAGTAACGCTAAATCCCAAAAGCTGTTGGCAATAATTTAAGTGATCGATATCCTCCCCGCGCGCAAAACTCGATATCTTATCAACTTTGTATATATTTTATTGCATTTCGTTTAAAAACATGAAAATATCATATAAATCACTCATTTTCAAGTAATAATTCGTAGCTTTAAAATTAGTACCTGCATACGTAGTGCCATGTTGCACTTGAAATGTTTACTGAAACTTTTAAGTGACGTATGTGAAGTGAGTTATTCAGATTTAACAAGCGCATGCTGCATCATGTGAATATTATGAGTTGATATGACGCCGTTTGAACTAACTAAATAATAATTATTTAATTATAACTATAACTATATTAACTATATTAAACTATATTAACATACTTAATTGGTCCCCCTGATCTATTCAAAGCGTTAAAAATATAGCACAAAGTTAAAGAGACTGAGTTCTTTCAGTTGCACCCGTATTCAAGAACAATACTTAGGTAAGGGTAAAAGCAACGACCAGAAACACTTTGCACAGTGTTGCACTGCGTTCGTAATGGCAGGCCATGTCATTCACAAACAACACTCAGGCGACACTCTACTATGCGTACGCACTGCGCCGATTACAGATCCGTGATTGGTCCGTTTAGCAAAATAAACATAACATAACCAGACATTTGTCAAAGCTCCAGTATGCATTGGTTAAATTAGCTCTCTACCTACTTTTCGTAAGGGTCGTCGCTAATGAACGCATAGCGTTGCGCATCACTCAAGTATCGTTTAAGAAGTGCTAGTCTCTGCAGTTAAGATGAAACTTGAAATGCGTAGATACATTTTTTTCCCTCCGTTGTCAGAATTCGAACCTGCGCCTTCCGTATAACGCGCCCAGACGCTTTAGCCACTAAGTGGTTGATATCCTCACCACGCAAAATCCTCGACACCCTTATAATTCTACTTTTTTTTAATTAAACGTAAATCTACTTATTTTACGTTTTTAGCGATTGAATTACTATATAGTTTAAAAATTATCATAAGTACATTACTACATTAGCAATTATTGTAGTACCCATGATGCAGGAGCCCTGGGCTCGCACCCCGTGTGCTCTTATGGTTGAAAGACTGTTGCCTTACCTGGAGGAGAGGGGAGTTACTCCCCCACAAGGGGCTGTTAAGGCGGCCAGCGCTGGCAGGGTCGCAGTAGTGTGCGAAAGCGTTCCCGTGGCCTTGCCGATATGCGTCTGAGTAGAACATCGTGGTAGTTTTAGTCGGTGCGAATCCGACATAACTTGTCCTTGCCCCCGTGAGTGTGGGTATGCGCAGGCATTACTCCCACGAAAACAAAAAAAAATGGGAGGCGCACCGTACTCCCGGTAAATGGGGCCTAATAGCGGCACGGACAGTATAGTATAACGCGTGACTCTAACACTTACGTCATCCTATATGATAATCATAAGCGCCCGTAATAATATAAAGAAAAAATCTCCCGGTAAACGTGGATTGTAGTCGGTAGGAGAATGCGATCTTTCCGTATCCTTCGGGGTGTATGCTGTAGTACGGTCTTACTTGATTCCCATCACTTTTGTTAAGTTGACGAATAGTTGAGATTCAAATTCTCTTCCGAGATCTGATGTAATCGTAGCGAGGCGTCCAAAGCGTGATATCCTATACTGATAAAAGATATTGGCTTTAGTATCAGCTGTTATGTTGTCTGTAGGTATGTAGATCTGTAGGTAGTAACTTTGGGCCACTTGTTTAGTCGATCAGTCATTGTGACTGAATATCGATGTCCTTGAAATGTTTTTTGCAAATGGTTCACAGATGTTAATGAAGTCTGAAACTTTACCTCTAAGGTAGTCTCGCATGCGCTCAAGTTTTTTGCGGTTGTCTTATTCTTCGTAAGCTGAAGTTAGTCGATCTTTGATGGCTTTGGACTGATCCTTCTCCGGTGGATTATATAGCAAGTCGATGATTCATTCATTTTTCTTGCCGTTTTCGGCTTGCCGTGATAGCTCAGAGTCCGGGCGCTCGCCTTTAATTCAATATACTCGAGCAACCTGAGTTCGATCCCCGGTGCCGGCACAGATGAAATTGTTTATTTTAAATGTCGCATTATCACGTGTTCAGCGCTGAAAGAAAACATCGTGAGGAAACCTGCATATTTTGGAAATAATAACCAAAAAAGAATATTTCGAAGATATGTGAAGTCCGCCAATCCGCAGTGGGGCCACGTGGTGAACTATGCCCTAATACCCTCTGTACAGAGGAGGCCTTTGCCCAGCAGTGGGACATGTATAGGCTAATACTTTTACTCTACTTCGGCTTGTAGCATTGGTGCTTGAGCCTCGAAATTAGTAATGATCTTCTAAGGCAGAGATTTTTTTCTTCGACAGGAATTATTTGGGCAGCGCCACATCACCAGATTACAGGAGGATATATTGAGAAGAAAATCAGCTTGACGCCTTGCATAGTATAATGATTTATTTGAAAAACTTCCCAGTTATATACAAGAAGTCTTAAAACTAAAAAAACATAAAAATACTTATACTCCATGACAAATTAGAAGGCTTACTTATTCCATGTGAGCGTCGCCGCGTCGCTACGTCCCCCGCATACCTCATTCCGCCATAAGCTATAAATGTAGACTGCGCGTCTAAGTCGGCTCTGTCTCTCTGGTAAAAACGAGAGCAGCTCCGACGTTCAGCGCCAATTCGATTTGATTTCGTCGCGATGGTGATTTATGAAGAATGAAAAAACAATAAAATATTTTTGAAAACAGAAATATAAGAAGATTACGTTATAAAATTGCTTTTCTCAGAGCTACTGCTATCTTTTTAACTTTTATTTCTTAGAGTCGGTTATCAAGGCTACACTGATAAATTATTAAAAGAGTTCTTTTATAATAAACATTAATTTTAATACGCCACACTTATAAATAAAATGGTGCTTGAAAGGATAAAAAAAATAAACCTTAGAATTTCCCTACTTCCAATACTCTATATTCATCTCACTCTCTCATAAGTTACTTTTTTGAAGTTTCACTTCACTTTTTTCACATGGGGGTAATTTCATACACATAGTTTTATTTCTTTTCTTATTGCTATATTACTTCATATTAATAGGATAAAACTAAATAAAGTGAAAACCTATTTTATTAGTTGCCCTTAGTTATTTTTTTAACGGTAAAGATTTTATGGGACATCTCTATTCGAATCTTACTTTTCGCGGGTTTTTTAATGTCAAACAAAACAAGTTTAAAAATAATTAGGTACCTATCAATCCTAATTCGATAGTTAATCAAGTCAAATTATGGGATTTAATAGTGTATAATTTTAAATATTGTGGTTCTGGTTGTATGTAATAAGCAAGCCCAAGAAGGTGACGTGAATAGTCGCTGTTTTAAACATGAGTTCTCTTTTATCTGCTGAACTATCTGCAACTTGCAATGCATTGGGTACACTTAACAAGAAAACAGGGAAGTATATGATAGACGAATTCACCCTAAATACAGTAAAAGATTTAATTAGATATTTGAGACGAGACGGAGAGGATCACGAAATACGGAGACATTTGGGACAAACTAAGGTGTTGCAAACTGACCTTTTGCCCATGCTAATAGATCATTGGGAAAATGACGATCTATTCGATGTCACATTGAGGTAAATAATTACTTAATTTATTCATCACTAAACAAAAACTAGACACAAAATATTATATGTGATTTTTTGCAGGTTAATAGTAAATTTAACCAATCCTGCACTACTATTATATAGAGAAGAAGTACCTATTGAGCGTACTGCTCGTCATAATTATCTGCAAATATTAAATAACTTGCAAAGTTATAAAGAAGAGGCATTTGCTAAAGTTGAAACTTGGCAAGTGTTTTCTAAAAAATTAGCTAAAGTTTTAGAAATTGTAAGTATTTTTCTAAAAACTAATGATTAAATTAAAGCACTGAATTATTGAAAAGTAATAGTAATCTATAATTGTTGGTATATTAAGGATTGGGCAGAGAGAGATGAAGATACTGGACTCATTATTGAAAGGATCTTAATACTTATCAGAAATGTTTTACATGTGCCTGCCGACCTTGACAAAGAAAGGAGACCTGAAAATGATGCCAGTGTCCATGACCAGGTTTGTAAATCATATTCAATATGTTAATGTTTTGTTTACTAAAAGTATTGCAAATATTTCTTGGTTATTTTAGGTGTTATGGGCATTGAATCAATCTGGTATCTTGGACATAATTCTCTATATGTCATCAGAGAATGAAAAACAGTATTTTATGCATATTCTTGAAATAATCTCACACCTGTTAAGGGAACAAAACCCGACAAGCTTAGCAAATGCTGCTCTGCAGAGAAGTATGGATGAAAAATTGAGGGATGAACAGGAACTTCTTACAATTAGAATGACTGAAACAAAAGATAGGCTAAATAAGATTAAACAGTATTCTGCTACAAGGTATGATTTTAATATCTCTTTGATATTTTTAAATAATGAAATGCTTATACTGATTTCTTTGTAATACTTAGTACCCGGAGAACCGAGCTTTGCTCGGTTTGTTTTTTTTTGGTAAATTGTGTATTTTGGAAATTACATTTAGATACAAATTACTGAGTAATGAAATATGCATCATGTTTTTCGATCTTACCGACGTAATAATAAGAAAATATGAACTGATGATGTTTTTCACAAAAGAAAGAACTTTAAAAAAAAAGGGAAAAAAAAATTAAAAATAAAGAAAGCAATGATCTGGAATCGAAAAAAAAGTAAAAAAATAAATGTGTAAATGATCGTGACGCGAACCACGGCCGTCTGTTTTGGGGCCGCCCGCTAGATCGATTTTTCGCCCCCGAATCTTACGCACATACTAAATTTCATGGAAATCGCTGGAGCCGTTTCCGAGATTCCGATTATATATATATATATATATATATATATATATACAAGAATTGCTCGTTTAAAGGATAAGAATAGAGTTTTAATGGGAATTATTAAACTTGCATTGTGATCTGGAACTGGTTGCAAAAATAATACTATCTCAATTTGTAGAGATGTAAAACTCCTTATCAAACAATTTTAAAAAATCAGTGTATGAAAATGTACTTTACTAATACTTTACTAATTTCAATCAAATCATTGTTTGAAAGGTCAAGAAACAAGTTAAGATCTTAGGGACAATTTGTATATATGTACATTCCCTTTTTAGATTGAAATTGTGCTATTTTAGTTGTGAACAATATAATTGAATCTTTTTATTTCCTCTTAATTTTCAATAAATAGTGACAACATTGTTTTAGACATTCAAGGTTTGGTGGCACTTATGTTATACAGAACATGAAATCCATATCAGATAATGGGATTATTAGCTTAAAGCCTTTAAATAAAATATCTAGCTTAGATTTTAATGGAAGTAAGAAAACTAAATTAGTGAAACCTAAGAACAGAAGACCGATTGAAAGTGGAGGACTTGAACGTCGATCAGCCTTCGCAGTGAGGTATGAAGGATACAACAACTTTACAATGAGTTGTTTTTTTTATCAAGAAAAGCATATTTAATCATATATTGTAATTATACAATAGTACACATCATGTTAAATATAAGTATTATAGGAATCTTATATACCCTCTTGTTAGAATATTATTATGAAGATTTCGATAGTACTTTAAAATGAACACAATTTCATTGAAATATACAATTTATGGGGTCTTTGTGATATTTTGTATCCATCTAAGTATATGTGAATATACTGCTAAAATGTTGTTTTTCTCCCTTCAGACTATTTCTCAAAGAATTCTGCATTGAGTTCCTAAACAGCTCTTACAATCCATTAATGCGTTATGTAAAAGACGTTCTTGTGAGGTCAAAGGCGCAGCAAAATGACGAGTCATACTACTTGTGGGCCGTTAAATTCTTCATGGAATTCAACCGTGGACACAATTTTCAAGTTGGACTAGTAAGGTAATCAGCTTAGATTTATATTTAACATGAGGAAATGTAACGCAACACAAAGCTGAGGTAAATCAAATCTATGGTAGGGCCACAGAACAGTGTTCAAGAATTCGTGCAAGCAAATATAAAGTGGGCCCCGGTTGTAGTATATGTACCACGAATTCACAAAAGACGGGCGTAAACTAGAAGTGTTACAGTTCTGCATTTAGTCTGGTGAGTGAGGTAGCCGGGCCCACTTTATTTAAAGGTGGCAGCACATTTGTAACCTTATTGGTGTTGCAAACCGAGGTAGATATGACACTAGCGCACCGAAACCGAGGCACTCAAATTGGTGTAATTAGATTGCAATTCTATAGACTGCTATCTCTATCCGTATCATACGTTCTATATCATCTGTCACATTCACTTATCTATGTTATTTAATGTAAAGCAGTACAATTTATAGAGCCGCGTAGTATGGACATGCGTCATCTACATTATAAAAACCACGTTGTATTATAGTATTTTAATAGAACTTTAATAATTATTATAAATAATTTTCGTGTAATAAATTTCGATATTAATCAGGGTTCAGAGGATTTGAATATAAAGAAATTATAGGTTTTAATTTTTATCATTTCTATAGATCCACGGGGATGAATTCGCAGGCATAATAATGAGCAATCAATCAATTATTTATTTGCCATCTAAGTGTACATTATATAAATAGATGTTACAATTCTGTAAGTCTGAGAGCAAATATATTATATGAATTATTTACAAGTAGATAATTAATTGCCATACTATAATCATCCAAAGGGGTTCCGGTAATTCGCCCCCATTTCATCTGCCTTCGTAATTTTAACTTGCCGAGGCGGTGAGTTGGGGAACGGGAAATTTGACAAGTTGTTGTTTCGGAGGATCGAGCTATGTAATTATTTCGTGCCTTCGCTTTAGAACTGTACAAAACTATCGTTTCTCACCTTACTAGTTTCAAGTGTTAATTTTTTTATGCTGCGATAATACTAATCTTACTAGTAAACATTTGTGCTTGTAAATTTTTCATGCAGCAAAAACAAGGGAAGCTGATTTTTCTTGAATCTCCTACTGAAGTGATCATTAATAGTCGTAATAAGGCATTACTTATTAAATTGTAAGACAATGGTTTAAATTGATATTCATGAAAACTCGATTTTCCTCTTTTTATCCACTGGTTATATGATTGACTTAGCTTTAAATAATCTTCAATCAAAAAAACACGCCTCCTATCACTTCTTTTATCTATCTGATATACCTATCAGACCTTTGTTGTAGTAATGATAGTTAAAACCACCGTTTTACCTATCATTACTACAACAAAGCAAAGTGGAATGACTTTGCTTTGTTGTAGTTCATGCCGTCAATCTAATTTTTGAGAGGAAGTTTCACTTTCTATTTTTTCCATTTATTTTTTCACTTTCTATTTATTATTTTTTCCACCTTGTCTTTCTTTAAAATACTAAAAAACCCTATGGTCAACTCATAATGTTTGAATGCGAAAAATTCTATTTGATCCAGAATTAATACGAAGCGAGCCTACGCACGGAGAATACGCGTCACCGTGTAAAACTTTATACAAAAAATCTTAGTAATTTTACTACCGCTTTTGGTTTATTAATTGTAAATAGCTCGAGAGTGCAATGCCTTTTGACGGTTAACATTAATTTTCACTCAAGTTTTTTTATTTTTATTTCACTGGTACGAAATTATTTCATATAAAGAATTTTGCTGTTGTCACACATTGGACTATACAGCGTGTCGTTACCACCGCGACAATAAATGAACACACGTCTAACGCTACTTGCCAATAATTATAAAAAAAAATTTATAAAAAAATTATATTATATATTATATAAAAAATATGATATTAAAATATTGAAAATTAAAATATTGACATTCATAATTAAAAAAAAATATTTTTCAAACAAACTAATTAACTAAAAAAGAAACAAAATTTGTAACATCCTATACAACTACAACTGACTGATTCATACATTCAGAGACTTTTTCATTCGTTACCACAGCGTCGCGTTACAAGCCTCTCCTTCTAACAGTATGTTTTTTCTCTTTTAAATTCATTCGACCCATTCATATGCTTTGTAACCTTTGCAAATGAACTTTACGTTACAGTTTTTTTTTTGTAAGGTTGTTCTAAAATTCTTTGTTTTGGAAAATTTAATAACTCTGTAAATATTGATGTTTAAAGAATGTACATGTTTAATACAATTTTAAAAAGTTACCTCTATATGTGTGTTTATTTATTGTAGCGATTGTAAAGATACGCTGTATATATCGTGAAAATAACCACTGCCAAATGAAGAACCATTTCACATCGTAAACATAACACTAATCATTTGCTAGGATTAAAATTTTTGCTCAATAGCATAGTGGATAGATGTTTTTGACCAAATAACTGGAAAATATACTTTGTAAATAAAAGATAGCTCAGGAATTTTGACACAGGGAATATGTAAAAGCGCTCAATTCAATCGGAGATCAATTCAAGCAATTGATATTAAGTCATCATGTGTTTACTCCAGTGGCACTATGCTATTAGTCTTTATGTTTTCGTTATTTAACATAAGCGTATTTTCAGCGAAACAATGTCGGTGCCCATGTTCCATTACGTGCAGCAGCAGATGGAGAAATACTACGACATGATCAAAGTGGAGAAGAAGAAGTTCTCCTCGTGGGTGCGCCGGTTGCACATCGCGCTCAGGGCCTACAAGGAGCTGCTATACAGTTTGGTTGCGATGGACAAAAGCTCCGACGGCACAGTCAGGGACTCCGCCAAAGTGTTGAAAAGCAACATCTTCTACGTGCTGGAGTACAGGGAATTCGTTCTGACGACCTTCCTGAGCTTCGACGAGAATAAAATGCCGCGGTTTGTCTATTTCTCTTAACTTTATTCCCTTAACTTTTTTACTACCGTTATACTGTAGGCATGTCCCAAAACTTTGTTAGAATTAGTACAAGTTTGAATGCACTTTGTAGCTTGCTTTCCCGAAGTTGGGATTAATCACCCCTGGTGGAAGCTTATTGATATTCCTGACTTAAAATTTAGAAGAATTTCAGAAGAATGAATATAAATGTACTTAATTGCACACCAAAAAATAAAATAAACAAAAATCGAAAAGTTAATAAATGGACAGACTGTCCCGTGATAATGAACGCTGTAAAGAGTTCGAAACGTCGGGAATTAAAATTAAGAATAAACGCGATAAATCGTAAAATCAGTTTCATTTATAATGTGTAATCGCGTAAATACAAGAAATTATCACGAAAAGCTAATGTTGATGTGATGGGTACAATGGGCGGCCTTATTACTAAAAGTAATCTCGTATAAATTTTCCGTCCGGCTGATTCATGTGGCCAGTACATGAATGATTACAAGTTTTCTTAACTCTTTCGATACATAATGGGAAATTAGCAGCTGTGACTGTGTACAACAATAAAGCTTATAGTACGTATAGTATGTTCTTATGCATGTAAAGATCACCTCGAAAAGGGATGTAACATTTTCTCGGAGGTAATCGGCTAGAAGTAGAAATTGTTACACTTTTGCCTTTCCTCCAGTAAGTAGTGAGGTAACAGAAAGCCAGAATAGGCTTAATGATTGGCAACACGTCTGCAACTATTTTTTACTGTGCGTGTCCGTGGTAGAAGATTTATGTGAACAGTTGCCATAAATAAAAAATTATAATAATTGTAAATTAAAAAAAAAATACTAGTTGTGTAATTAACAAAACGAAAAATTAAAATTGAGTATTGTGTACATTTATAATTATATTCTGATAAAAGGCACAATTTAAAATTATTTTTTTTTAAACTCTAACACAAAAAATCCTCACTTCATCCCATCAGTACACTATAATGATTTGCACTTCTGAAATAAGTACATTTATAGGTACGTTAGATACTTTAGATCTCTCTTTCGGTCTTAAAAAGTTAGAGCGAGAGATAAAATATGCATTTACTATTTTGACTTGGGCCACGCACCGGAAGGGTGGCACGGGGCGGGACGGGTAAATGGGTTGCTTTCAGGTTGAGCCTACCTACACATACCCTACGCTGCTGCATTCAGTTTTAAAAGCGTAGTTGCTCGTTTTAAAATTTTGAAATACTTGACGCAAAGTACTGATATTAGTACAAAGTGTCGAAAGGCTGTATCGATTTTTGAGTACCTACTAGTATCGAATCGAAAAATAGCGAAATAAGTAAAATATCGGATTCAATATCGTGTACCTAATCACTGGTGGATGGGTAACCGCTATATTGGCGTCGAGCACCCGATCTTAACGGTAGAACTACCACAAGGTGCTTGAATGACGAGAATTAATGCATGTATAAAATGAGCATCCCATGCTGCACAATACATAGCTAATTCAATCATGTCTTTATGACACGCGGTTGAATTAGGTACTTGATTTTTGTATTTTTATTCTGTATTATCATAATAAATTACCAAACTTAATATTTCTTTTGTATTAATTATATTACGTTCATAAAAGCCAGAATTAAGTTCAGCTAAAACGTAACACGATATTCATTGTCTGTTAGGCGGTAAGAAGTTCGCCGGGTTAGCTAGTATTCTGATAAAAGGCACAATTTCCATTTGGACTAACGCTTGAATTAACTTGGCATTTTTATTTATTCTTTCGTTCTACTATTAGGCAAATAAAGTAAAAGGGTTGTTGTATGTATTTGTTTATGTGAGAGCGCGGCAAGCGAGATAGCGGTTCACCTGATGTTATGTGATAACCACCGCCCATTAACATTTGCAACACCCGCTGGGTTGCAGACGCGTTGCCATCTTTTAACAAAGTTGGCCCCGGCTACCTCACTCACCAGACGAAACACCGAAGTACAACACTTGCACTTCACGCCCGTCTTCAGTGATACTTACCCGGATGGACCTGCCCATCCGTGCAACATAGAAGACTGTTGCATAGCCTAGCCTACCACAGTTAAAATGTTTGCAGTATTAATATATTAATAGTAATATAAAAGTATATATATTATTAACAGGTCATATCTGGAGGATCTGGTGGAGACGGTGCATCTGTTTCTGAAAATGCTGGAGCACTACTGCAAAAGGACGGGCCTGGTCGTTCAAAAGAAAGTTCGGAAGAAGCTGAAGACGAAAAGTGAGTAACTTCCCCCGCGCGTGTCGTTTCGGGACGTGTTAACGGAGACATTTCTCGTTTCTAACACGGCGAAGTTTATTGCGGTTGCCAGTATCGACGTCCTTAGTGATTTACGAACGGAATCGACGCGAAACGATCGTATATTGCGACTTCTTAAATTTACGTGAACACTGAACGTTGTAAAATAAAAGCTTAATAAGTAATTGTGTTATGTTTAACTTGTATAGAGCTTGAATTTATTCTGTATCATTTTCGAGTCTTCGCTTGCTTGCTTCGTTGCACGAACGGGCAGTCCGTCCGGGGAAGTAACACGTAGAAATCCTGCGTGACGTGGAATTGTCTGCGTATACAGCGTGTCGTGAAATTGTCTGCGTATACAGCGTGACGTTACCATCGCGACAATAAATGAACACACGTCGAACATATATAATAAATATTAACGTTAAAAAACCCATAATAAAAAAAATGTTTTTCAAACAAACTAATTAAGTAAAAAGAAACAAAATTTATAACATCCTATACAACTACAACTGACTGATTCATACATTCAGAGACTTTTGCATTCGTTGCCACAGCGTCGCATTACAAGCCTCTCCTTCTAACAGTATGTTTTGTCTCTTTTAAGTTCATTCAACCCATTCATATGCTTTGTGACCTTTACAAATGAACTTTAAGTTACAGTTTTATGCGTAAGCGTGTTCTAAAATTCTTTGTTTTGGAAAATTTAATAACTCTTTAAATACTGATGATTAAAGAATGTAAATGTTTAATACAATTTAAAAAAGTTATCCTCTATATGTGTTCTTTTATTGACGCGATCGTAAAGACACGCTGTATATATACTTCTGCGTTTCGTCTGGTGATTGAGGTAGCCGGGGCCTTTTAGAAAGGTGGCAACGCATCTGCAACCCCACGGGTGTTGCATGTCCATGTGTGGCGGTTAGCACTTAACACCAGGTGAAACGGAAGCTCGCTTTCGTCTTCATACTTAAAAAAGTATGTGTGTACTTATGTACGCACGTAGGAAATTATGCTTCTCTATCGTAAAGACATGAAATGTAATTCTTAAAGATTTATTTAAATTGCTTGGAATTATTTGTAAATATCAAAAAGTTGTTATTGGTTGTTGTTGTCTGTTGCCATGGTAATGCCATTTTATTCTCGAAATACTTGAGCGATTAACCCGACTCCAAATCCCGGTGCAGGCCCCAATGATATTATTAATTTTGAGTACTGACTTCCAACTTCTCACCTAAACCCAATGAATAGAGTAGTCATTTGCCCAGCTGTGGGGCATATATAGGCTGTTACTTTACCTTTTTTAATTGCACTATAATGAATAACATTTGACCATTTCTTCTCAATGTAGAACATAAACGGACGCAGAAATCCAGGAGCGTTGCAGCAGAAGCGCCTCAGTGGGAGGAGGTCCGACCGCAAATCGCGTGCGTGCTGGGCTCGGGTTTGGAAGAATTCCCGCCGCCCTTCGACGCGGCCTCCGACGTGCCGATAGACCAGCAGAAGTAGGTCTATCTTGGTCTTTTGTAAACATCGCCGGTTCATGACTTCCTTAATCCTTACATCCTTACATCCTTACTAATATTATAAAGGCGAAAGTTTGTATGGATGGATGGATGTTTGTAACTCTTTCACGCAAATACTACCGAATAGATTTCAATGAAACTTTATAATAATATAACTCATACATCAGAATAAAACATAGGCCACAATATGTCTTTCTGTCTGAATGTTACGTCTTCAGCATATTCTATGCAGATGTAGTCGTGAGCAGCATAAGGGGTTCCATTTTCAATCAGACGGTAACATGAAATATGTCGTTTGTCTATTTGTAGTTTAAACCTACTTTTATTCACTGAATTTAAAGTTTCATTACTAGTTTCACCATAACAGTAATGTGCTAGTAATGTGCCAGTGCTTTTGCGTTAAAAAATAGTTATTACAGTAGGTATTTGTAGGGAAACAGAAATGTGCCGTATTTTTCAAAAATAATTCCACATAAACCGTGAAATCTCGGACTTACATTTTGTTATCGGACATTTAACGAACGGACATTTTGTTAACTCGACACAACATTAATATGTCTTTCTTGCCATATATTTTTATAGTAACAGTAATATATGTTTATATCGTGATATGTTAACGCTTCGATAATAATATTAATTCAGCAAATAAATAGATGACAACAGTTGTGTTTGGTCATGTAGACTCGCCATTTGCAAGATGTCACTCATTTGAAAAACTCATATTACTAACACCATTTTAGGAAAACGACCGACTCTTTTTAAAACCTCTTATATAAAGTAATATACAATGTGTATTTTCTAAAGGGAAGACTGTATGAAAAAATCCAGAGGTTGATGCGTGAGTGTAAATACGAGGACGCTGTCGGAACTTTCAGAGCTGCCAGGTGCGTAATCTTTTTATTTTATTTTATGTGATTGTGATTTTATTAGTTATCGTTTTTGACTTTTTTACGTGTCTTTATCATTCTGATTGTAAGTTATTCTGTAACGTTAAATCTTTCACACTGCTACTTACTACTTTTATTATACAGTTTAAATCAAGAGTTAGGTAATATAAGTCAAAATACTCAAATATTTTCATATACATCACACTTTGGTTCCAAAGATTTTATCGTGATTGTTTTTTTAACGTAGTACTGTAACTTATTTTTATTGAAGTTTAGAAACTAATATAAGATATTATTTTTATTTTTACTTCAAACTTGGAGAAAGATTGAATGAAGATCAGTCTACGTCATCCACTTAAGTGCAGTAATTTTTTTAATCAGCAGGAAATTCTTCGAAAACAGGAGTAGCGTGCTCTGTTTCAAATGAAACGAAAGAGTATAAAGTTCCAACAACACATCCAAAAGCTGACAGCTCTTTGCAAGACGCTAATTTCTTTACCCGTCTCGGAATTGAAACTGGGTCATACGGTTGCTAATCAATTATCGCACAGAAGGAAGAAGTTATACGAAGTTACTTACATACAAACAATATCCCTCGATACATTATTTCATACCAAAATTAAAATTACAATTGGTCTTAATTTTTTGAATATTCTTATTTTATATACATACTTTTAATGTAGTGTCCTCAACATACGCTACAATGTTAGTATAATGTAATAAAAGACTTGTATGAATATATAATAAATAACAACTTACACAGATATTATGGATTGTGAGATCGTAAATTTCAAAACATTTCTAGCCTCTATTATGTTATTTATTTTTACTACTCTATTCGTGTGTTACACAGTTTTCTTGTTCTTATACACATGCGGGCTGTTGAAGGTATTAAACATAAGAAGACCCGATGTAACGTTCTGGTCTATTCAGGGAGGTGTGGCCAGAGGAGGGGATCTTCGGTGTGGCGGGGATCGCTGAAGACGAGGAGCTGGACATGCTGCAAACCATTTACAACACGGACTTGGGCGTTGAAGTGAACGGTGAGGGAGTTCTTGGAAGCGATGACGTCATCCACTGTGAACCTGACATGATTTGCTATTTACATATTAAAATTTTCATTATAGTAATTTTCTTACGTTACTTATATTTGAACGTTTCGTTTCCTAGGCCCAAATGAGGAAGAGGACGGTTCGCAAGAAGAAATGGATAATGAAGAAGGTAATTGGGGGCCCATAAAAGAATTAGAAGAAGTCTAGCTGACTGCATAGAATAAGTAATTCTTTTATGGGTACAATTAATTTATGTTTGTTCCTAATATTTATATTTTATATCTATTACACATTACTTTATCTTTAAAATTCATTCTTATTTTTATGGACTTGCATATAATTTTCAAGTATGTACAGAGAAGCCAAAGTCAATATTTTAATACTATATTATTCGTATCATTATTTGACGACGTAAAATGCACTAATTGCATTAATTTAATGTATTCCTTTTTGTGTACATAAAATATTATCGTTTTAGACGAAGAAGAAGAAGCTGAGAGTAAAACGGCAGTGGTTGAAACAGATTTCGACTTTCAGGACTTTGTTCAAAGGTAAAACGTTTGTCTATCAATTATTTATATTTGAGTCAAAATTAGTTTTATTTGCAACCATGATGACCGATGACTCATATTGTCATTCAAACATATTTGAAAAACTTCAAAAGAAATTTTTGCCCGGGTAGCCAACACCCACTGCGGTCTGCGCAAAAGCTTGGCCTGTGCCAACCCTGAACTGTGATAGCTGTACGGGCGCTCGCTTTCAATTCAATATTTCGAGCAAACGGAGTTCAATCTCCGATGCCGGCACCAGTGAAATTATTAATTTTAAGAATTGTTCTTCTTTGACTTCACGCCGGTGTTCTGTAAGATTGTGATACTTACCCGGATGACTTGCCCATTCGTATAACAGTCGAGGCTGCTGCATGGGACTACTACAGGAATTTGAATTGCTTGTTTTCGAAAAACGTATCCGTACTAATATTATAAAGGCGAAAGTTTGTATGTATGGATGGATGTTTGTTACTCTTTCACGCAAATACTACGGAATGGATTTCAATGAAACTTTACAATAATATAGCTTATACATCAGAGTAAGACATAGGCTATTATTTATATACATATTTATGTATATCTGTCTTTCTGTTTGAATGTTACGCCTTCAACCTATTCAGACGTAGTCGCGGGCAGCATCTAGTATGAAATAAAATGTAAATGAAGCTAGAAAATATTTCGTAGTTACGCGAAGTCCGCAAATTCGCAGTGAGGGGTCGCATGGTGGACTGTGCTCCGATACCTTATGTACAGACGAAGTCTTTGACCGGCAACGGGACATACGAGTACATAGGCTGTTACTTTACTTTTTAACCGACTTCAAATGGCGGAGGTTCTCAATTCGACTGTATTTTTTTTTAATGTTTCTCACAAGTTTTGACTGGAGTGAACCGATTTTGATGATTCTTTTTTATTTGAAAGCTGCCGCTTCCCATATTAAATTGATTGGTATTGGACTTTGCCTGCGGAGATACTTAAGGAGCTCCTGAAAATCATTTATAAAACGAATACAGAGCGAGATATTTGAGGTCGGTTTTGTTTTACGTCAGTAAGAGATTGGTTGTATTCGATTTCACTCGCCGTGCCAACCCTACCGTCGGACGCAGGTTCTGCCAGGCGCGCGTCGTGAGCGCGTGCGCGTGCGTGCTTGAGGCGTGCGCGCGCCCCCCCTCCGCCGCCCCCTCGGCCCCCTCGGCCCCCTCGGCCCCCTCGGCCCCGCGCGCCGCCCGCGCCGCCCTGCGGCTGCTGCACCGGCTCGCGTGCGACTGCCGCCGCCCCGCGCTCCTCTTCCAGGCGTCGCTCTTCCTCACCTTCCAGCGGGTGCTCGCCGACCCGATGCCCCACCTCAAGGTAGGCAGACCCCACGCTGTATAGCTCTTGAAGCGACTTTGAAAAGCAGACGATCCCCTCCACTGGCCACTGTATACCATAGCTGTTCTACTCTATAGCTCTTCAACCGACTTTGAAAAGGATACGATCCCCTCCACTGGCCACTGTATACCACAGCTGTTCTACTCTATAGCTCTTCAACCGACTTTGAAAAGGATACGATCCCCTCCACTGGCCACTGTATACTACAGCTGTTCTACTCTATAGCTCTTCAACCGACTTTCAAAAAGGAGGAGACATGAGACATCTACCTCCATTAGCCACTGTATAACTCATGGTCAAACAGCCTCACCGCTGACCACTGTATACCGTAGCTGTTCGTCTCTATAGCTTTTCACCTGACTTCGAAAAAGTAGGCTTTCCTCACCACTGGCCGCTGCATAACTCATGGTCAGACGACCCCCACCGCTGGCGACTGTACAGCTTCGGCTCCGTACCTGTTTGACTGTATAGCTCTTCAATCTACTTCGAAAAAGGAGGAGCCGTTCCCTACCACTGGCCTCTGTATAACTACTCCTCAACCGGCTTCGTAAAAGGTGGAGACGTTTCTCACCACTGGGTCCTGTAGAGGTGTTTTTTCAACAGATTTCAAACAAGCATTTTTTTATTAATAAAAAACAAAACTGACTTGTTAAATGAAACAATTTTACGGCATCTGTCGCGATCGTTGAAGAATTTTGCACTTTGTGATCATATTTTAAACCGCCCCAACCACTACATTTTGACACAAAAAAAAATTGACATATTTGAAATGGGTTTTGTTTTTTTAAATAAAAATGTTTCAATAGTATCTTTGTCGTATGTTGCTCTTAGGCCGAATTCAAAAAAGGAACAGTTGAGAAATAGGTTCTCAATTAGTTTGTAATTTTTTATATTTTCAACTTTATCTAGTCACTCTTTGGTTCAAACCTCCACACTATCTGTGAAGATATCAGCATCTGAAGATATAGTCATCGACTATATGATGAATGAAAGTACATTAAAACGCCTCCTTTTATGATCAGGGAGCCTTGTTTTTAAGTGATGTAGTAATTTCCAGTAAATTATGAATACTTAATTAAACTTGCACTGTCTAACCCGTCCGTGGTTCAATTACGTAAAAGACTTTGCTGTGATCTCTGGTAGGTCGATCTCGCATATCGCTTTATGATAGACATACGTCCGACGTGATATTTGGTCTGCAATATGCCAGCCTGTCACGGGTGAAACTGCGAGAGAACAGACAGTGCAAATGCCAATCCACCTGTCAAAACATCTCATCCGTAGTTTACTGTCCGTCAATTTTATCAGTAAGCAATAATTATTTATTTAACTAACAGAAAATATTAGTAAACAAACAACGATGACCATATCAGCTTTTGAACGTTAGAAACAAAACCTAACAACAAAAACCTAAGTTAAATGTAAGTTTATGTAAAATTGTTACAACATACCATAAAATTTTTACGGTGGTAGGGCTACGCAGCAGCTTCGGCTGTTGCACGAATGGGCAGGCCCGTCCGGGTAAGTACCACGACCTCACAGAAGACCAGCGTAAAGTGGAAGTATGACATATACTTTCGCGTTTCGTCTGGTGAGTGAGGTAGTTTTCAAAAGGTTGTCAACGCATCTGTAACCCTCGGGTGTAGCAGATGTCCATGGAAAGCGGTATTCACTTAACATCAGATGACCCGTCTGCTCGTTTGGCAACTTTTCGCATAAAAAAAACCATGTATAGTGTTCGCGTAAATACTACAAAATTCTTAAATTATTAAAACTGTTAAAGTAGTTAAAGTTTTTGGATATAGTTAGATTGTTACCTAAATTCATTGTCCATCGTCCTTTCGTTTTCTCTTGCGTCGTATTTATTTAATTAAAAATTTATTGTTCACACCCCAACATAAGGTATATCAAAAGGCAAACTTAAGCCTAATATGCATTCTCTTCCGTATTCGATTGGTTTAACGCCGAATGGACATTCGCACGCTTTAAGAACTTTACGCTGTTTTACACCCGCCCTTTAATATTGGTCCATTTCGAAATTTCAAACTGAGTCGAGTTGAACGCTGTATTAGCGTAAGGTTACGGATAGAGCCAGAAGCTTTTGTTTAATATGATGCACCCAAACACGTTGACCTAATTTGTTTGCATAATACACTTCCATTTTCACAGCCTAAAAATTGTTTTATACTATTTATTTGCCAATAATTTTCCAAAGCATTGTACCTCCAATTAACTCTCGGCTCAATTGAGGTCAACTCAAAGTTAATTATGTTGTTGGTCTTTCCGACGAGATACGATAGGATATTGTTATTCAGATAAAAACGACAAATTGAATAATAGACTCTTAAGGTCTCTCGTAAACTTATTCGCTTCGAAAATAAATTAGATGTTTGACACCGCTCCGATAGGTCGTTAAAAAGTTCGCGCGCTGAATTTAAAACGTCCCCCGCCCCGGCAGGAGTTGGAGAAGTTCACGTTGTACATCTTCAGAAAGTTCGCGGCGATCGCTTCGAAAAATCCCAAAGCTTTCATCGAACTTTTGTTCTGGAAGTCGTCTAAGGACGCCGTCGAAATAGAGCACGGCTACGACCTTTACGGCGACCAAAAGTGAGTACACAAGTTCAGATTTATGCTAACGGCGGGGCCGTATTGACTTTGCCCTTTCCAGACATTTATTCGCCCTCCTTAAACAAATCAGTAGAACGAAGAGATATGCGAAGTTTCCAAAGTTTTAGCGAACCATAAAATGTAATGAACACATGATTTAGCACATACCCACTTTTCACACGAATGCACTTTTGATTGAATGCGACGTCTAACATTGCCTTGTCCTTTATTCCGTAACGAGTTTATCTTGGGAGGGGCTTGCTTGACAACGTTATAAATGGAAAAATATTATTCCATCATTGTTGTGGTTGGGTATTGGCGTACTGTCTTTTTTTTTTTTTAAAGGAAAAAACACTCCTTCTCTAGAAAGTGATTTTTACATCACTGGAGGTTTCGCAAACATGAAAATGACGGACACAGAACAACTACTTATGATACACTTTCTTGTTACGTGTGAGAATCGAACCCACAACACGGCGAGCAACGGTATTCGGCCACTAAATATTGACTTATCAGTCCAATTGACGCTATGTCGTGAGACAAAAGTCTTGATAGGATTGTTTGAGTTTCTAAGTAAATATAAACTGATCGTGATTTGCTCACGTTAGATGAGTATTAGATGCGTATTAATATCCAATTCGAATAACAATATCAAATTCGAGAACAGAGAGTGAGTGCTAGTAAACACTAGAGAGAAAGAGAGTGCTGATAAAAAAACAAATTGACAGAGACAAATTGGGCAAAGGCGTTTGGACTGAGGAGCAAGAAGATGAGCTTCGGAACTTGTTTATGGAAAACCAGGCGAATCCAACGACAGAGAAAGGTAATATTTTACATCAAATCTTTTGTGTTAGATTCACGATTATTTATTGATCTAACACTTTTCTACAAGCTGCTACATTGATATAGCATTTTCTACCAGCCAACCGGGGAAGTAAGTGAGAGAAAGAAGTGTAGGCGCTATTAATTGAAACTACATAAGATTAAAATTATCTTATAAGAAATGTTTCGTGTACAAGCGCACATTAAATAATCATATTCAGAATGGGTGAGTAACTTATCATCGTTCTTTTTTAAATTTTGTCCGCTCAGACGTGATCGACTGGATCCTGGAGAACCTGATAGACCAAACGCGTACCCGGCGCGGCGTCATAAGGAAGCTGAAGGAGTTGGGGCTCATCTTCAAGGCGCCGACGAAACGGAGCAACAAGGCCCGTTTGGAAACAACCCCCAAGGAGTTCTCAGAGGAGGAGGACGCCCTGCTCGCAGAACTGTGGAGACAATATGCCGATTCGCCAGGTAAGTAATAAATAAATATATAAAAATTCATCTATTTCTATAATATTTGATACAGTTTGTTGGCGAGTTTTCCCGGTAAGTTGTCATAGGCACTTGTAATGGGAGTGACCCGCTACTTCCCTTCTGGATAACGAAGACTTTTGATTAACTAGAATACTATCTAAAGAATTAATTAGGAATACAATATTTTCGTACATATATCGCGAGAGTGTGTGTCTATGTGAGTGAGGGAGAGAGTGGCTTTGTTCAAGTTCAAAAGTAAATGGCTCCTTTCTTATGATGCTTAACATTGTCCGCGGTGGAACAATTCGCAAATGCAGAACTTTTGCGCAGGTCAAATAGTCATGGTAAATATTTAAATAATTCGTACGTTATTTATGAATGTTGAATTGTTATACTTCGCGTTTCGTAAAATCCCACTTTATTAATAGGTGGCAATGCATCTGCAACCCTAGGGGTGCTGCAAATGTGTAAATATCGGGTGAACCGCCATATTCTGACAAAAAAAAACTCGACCTCCTCGAAAACCTGGTTGTGGATGACCACATCATAAGTCAACGACTTAGTACCGGGGTTCCCGCCCGATAACTACTCCCCGGATGAGCATGCGGTAAAGCTATGTAGATAAAATATGTTAACATTTTCTTCCGTGTGGCAATCAGCCGCAAAATCAGTTTAGCTTAGTGTTTAAAGCGTCTGGGCGCGAATCTGGAAGATGTGGGTTCGATTCCCGCAGCGGCGAAAAACTTTTCGTCCACTATTTATGCAAACTTTAATGTTTCATATTAAGTGAAGCGAATTAGCACTATACAATTTTAAACTTCACTAAGCTTAATTGTTATAAGTTTGTGTCGCAATTAAGCAATAGAAGTTTCCCAAAAAGATGGTAATCCATAGGTCGCTGGTTCAAATCCGGCTCGAATTGTACCTGGGCTGTAGCTGTAGCTTTATCAAAAGTTGGCAAAGCATTCGCAACCCTACGGCTGCTGCCAATGTCAATGGGCGACGATTATCACTTAACATCAGGTGAACCGTCGTTCGCTTGCCAACTTATCACATTAAAAAGTGATCGGTTGCGTAGCTCTGAACAGAATGTGCCGATAATGGCAAACTCCGCGCAGACCCTTTGGGCGCGATGATTCCCCGGATGCCGCGGAGGCGAGCGCGACGGAGCTACGTAGAGCGACTTCTGGAGCTGGATCTAATACAGGACAAGAAACAGTGCAGGAAGAAGAGAGAGAAGCAGCCGAAGAGTAAACGGACCGACGGTGACGGATCGGACGGTGAGATTCTAAGAGGACTGTTGGTCATGGCTATGCATTAAAAGAAAACATTATCCTTACTATCCTTGCTTTTTAATATTATAAAGGCGAATGTTTGTATGTATGGATGGATGTTTGTTACTCTTTCACGCAAAAAGTACTGAATAGATTCATGCAACAGTCTTCACTGTTGCATGAATGGGCAGGTCCGTCCGGGTAAGTACCACGACCTAACTGAAGACCGACTTGAAGTGTTGTACTTCTGCGTTTCGTCTGGTGAGTGAGGTAGCCTGAAACTTTACAATAATGTAGCTTATACATCAGAATGACACATAGGCTATAATTTATAAATATATTGTGTCAACTAAGTAGGAAAAAATTCAGTCATTTGCGAGATATTCTGGTGTAAAACAAAAAACTCATTGTTAATTTCCTTTGGCCGCGCGGGCGACGAATCGATGAATCTATCATGCAACAGTCTTCACTGTTGCATGAATGGGCACGTCCGTCCGGGTAAGTACCACGACCTCACTGAAGACCGACGTGAAGTGTTGTACTTCTGCGTTTCGTCTGGTAAGTGAGGTAGCTGGGGCACGCTTTAATAAAAGATGGCAACGCATCTGCAACCCAGCGGTTGTTGCAAATGTCATTGGGCCACAGCTCGTTTGCCACCTTCTCAAATACATAAACATAACAGAAACGACCTTATTAGTTCAAGGAATATCACATTAACGCAATTTACAAGCGTTCGTATAACGAAATGTTTTATGTCTATTTTGGTATTCCAAAGTTTGTTAGTGATATAGCAAAAATTTATATTGTTCTTTTCTTTTAACTTCGTGTTGTCAATTGTTTGTATATTGGCGCTTTTTATAAGTTAAGATATACTAACGTCAGCTTAATAGATTGGAAAATATGGAAGTGGTGTAGAATCTATAAATAAATATATTTAGCTTCTTAATGAAAATACTTGTTCGAACAGGCAGTTCATCAGATTCGGAATCTTCAGATGGCAGTGCCTGCGACAGTACTGTGAAAGTTCCATCGCCACCAAAGGCCAAGAAACTGGTTAAGAAGGCAGAGAAAAAGAAACCTGAAGGGCGTGGAAATAAGAAGAATAAGAAACAAGTTGAGCTGAGTGCGACCGAAATTGCTAAGCTTTTAGTGCAAGCTGTCAACAGCGGTAAGTAAATCACAACATACATTTGCCGTGTAAAATTCGCTTGCACCCATCTAAGGATGTGCTTAAATTAATGCAATTTTCCCATTTCCCATTCACACATGTTATATGATAACCGCAGCCCACGGACGTTTGCAACACTCGTAGGGTTGCAGATGCGTTGCAACATTTTAATAAAGTGGGCGCCGGCTACCTCACTCGCCAGACGAAACGCAGAAGTGTAACACTTTCACTTCACGCCTGTCTTCTGTAAGGTCGTGGTAAGTACCACGAATGGGTAGGTCCGACCGAGTAAGTACTTTTTAAAGTGCAACAGCGGACTGTAGTCGAGACTTACTATCCGAGCCCTCCAAATAAACACGAATATATTTAAACAACCGGACAGGTTTTTCGGAGGCCTTACGGTGGCTGGCGGAAAGCCTGGAAGAGGTCGCGTTAGACCAGGAAGCGGAAGGATACGATCCAACGGCAGAGGGGACTCCCCTGGTGCCAGTTGGGGAGGCCAGCGTGCGGGCAATGGACAGCCAAGTGTTCCTCAAGGTGCTCAAAGGGATCGGGGTGGCACCGCCCGCTGACGAACAGGTAACTTTAATGGAAGTTATTTCTTCTATTTACGCAAACGTAGTTAGTTTCTCGTACTAAACTATTCACAGTACTGTTTACATTGTTGAAATAACATGTGACCAACGATTCTGGGTTTACAACGATTCAAACTTAAGGATCGTTATAAATTTATAATTGTATACTTGTTTGTGGTTCTTGCAGCAAATAAAAAAAACGCACAAGACTACTCTACGGATATACCAGTTTTGTTTAGAATATTTTTAGGGTAGTGGCAAGTGAGTAAACTTGATATTGCGTGACTATCGCCGCCCATGGTCTATGGTGCTGATCTTCAAAACCAGAGTGCAGTGGGTGGATAAAACTGGGAGCAGAACGTGATAACGTGAGATTTTTCGAAATGGTTACGTCGTCCTTTTTGAATCTCTTCTATCCCATGCCTGTACAGAAGGCGATGTGTTGCAGAACTCTTTTTTTAAATGTAGTACCTAATAAGTAATCAATAATCAGTGTCTTCGCGATTTCATCGAGCCTCATGAGATGACTTGATGTTTAGTCAAAAATTTAGGAATTAGGAAATTATATCTGCTTTTCTTTTCTCTTAACCTATTATGTTTTATCAAACTTTAGGAGACCTACTGGAGAATACCTAGTCACCTTCACCACGAAACGATAAGGAAACGACGCGAAATAATAATGAGGGCGGTTAACAAAGAACTTGTGGTCGACGAAGCGGAAATAGCTACTAGCAACGATATAACCGAAAACAAAACAGTTGGTGACAACGATTCAAGCGACGACGAAGACCTGTTCGATAATCTGCGCAAGTTGCGGGACAGCAATGAAGAAGATAGCGTTGCCAAAAGCGTTATTAAAAGCAAATCGGAGAACCGCAAACGCAGTCGCAGCACGGACGAAGAAGAAGACAGCAGACGAGAGAAGATGCCGAAGATTGATGAGACAGAGGAGCGAAACAGCGATGAAGAGGAAGACATTTTGTCCTTCGCCAAAAAGACCCTTCAACTCGACGAGCCCGAAACGGAGGATATATTAAGCAACATACGAAGGCCTGATACTGGTAAGTTTAAATTTTCCTTATTAAGCTTCGAAAAGCCATGTTATCTTCATTTGTCGTTCGGTTTGAAATATTATTGAAGATGGCTAAGCAAAGAGAATAATATTGATGAAATGGAGGAAGACAGAGTACTAGACATAATTATATGGAGGGATCACGAGAAGGAGAGAAATAGGCATGAGATGTTTTGCGTGACGAAAATCAATTGGTGGAGACAAATATAATTGAATTCTTCTTATATTTTAATCGTGGTAGGACCGCGCACGTTGTGAATTTATTTTTATTGTTATAGACACACCAACTTTACCATATTTAACCATATTTATACAATTTACAAAAAAGGAAAAAAAATAAAAAGCATTTCCGCATGTTTTGAATACTGTTGCGCGAATGGGCGGGTCCGTCCGCGTCGTGTGCGGAAGTGTAATACTTGTGCGCGCTCGTGAGTGAGGTAGCCGGGGCCCACTTTGTTAAAAGTTTGACATAGACATAGACATAAAATTTATTTTGACAAGCGACAAACAGCACGAAAAATTCAAAAAATAAATGACATGAACATAACATATTGATAAATAAAAACATAACATCGTTTCAACAAAAAAAGCAAGTTAAAAAAAGGAATAAAAAATAAGTACACAAAGTTACAAATATAAAAATTAAAATTAGCAACGCATCTGCATCCCTACGGATGTTACAAATGTCAATGGGCGGTGGCTATCACTCGACATCAAGTAAAACGCCAACTCGCTTGCTTCTCACATAAAAAAAATCATTTCAAATACTTTTAAATTCCAATCTTTAAATCCTAATGTTAGATGCTCGAGCAAAAGGGAGCATTATTTTAATTGTTTTGTATTCTGTTCTATCATAAGGTTTTAAAGATTTAAAAATTTGTCCGGTGTATAAAATGCTTAGTAAATAATAGTGTACATATTATTAAAAATATTTGAATCCTAAAATTGTGCCATGAACGTTTTGTTACATCCGTATTCATATTATGTTAGTAGTTTTTGGTATTAATATTTTTTTTTTCAGATGACAGTGACAACGAAGAACCCGAGGAAATAGTTCTACCAACGAAACGAAAGAAAGTTAGAGCGATCATTGATGACGATTCCGATTAAGATTTTATCCTTTTCTTTTGATATTTTACAGAGTTAACGTTGATAAATGTACATTTTGTCAATATTATAATTGTGAACATTTACTAAATTGTAAAAATAAAAAAAATTAAACAAACATTAACAAATATGTGTTTGAAAACCTTCTGTGTTTGTTTTTTTTATAAAACCAAAATCTACATTACACTTATTAAAGATTATAACTATTTTAGTCATTACTTGTCCTAATAAACTATTAAAATCCTATGTAAGTGTTAAGCGCATGTGTATCAAATATATGTTTAGAAACACGATGAAAGATATTTTAGTAAAAATTTTATATATTAACACAAATAACATTTAAATTTAAAATCAAAATACGGTCCGTCGCGCATTGCCGCGGCGCAATCTAAAACGAGTAAGACTTGACCTTAGATAAATCAAATTAGGTGTACTGTTTTCCGATGTACTTGTCCTGGCATAGAAATTATACACAGATACATCTGTGTATGTATGATGTAATATACAACATAAATCTCTGAACAATAGTGATACAAACATGTTAAGATGTGATCGTCACATCGCTGGTAAGTTCGCAATGTACACAATTAACACGGGGAAGTGCCAAGACCTCAAATTCCCAGCATAAGGCAGAATCTCGCGTTTTGTCTGCAGAGAGTGTAATTGGCGCCCTCAATTTTTTGTACATTAGCTAGGCTTAGGTTATATACATGTACATAGGCAGCGGTAATAATTTCACATGTGAACCGCCAGCTATCTTTCCAAGTTTACACTAAAGAAAAAGAAATGATTTTATCAAAAATATTTTTTTCCATGCATGAAAATCTGTATTAGCGGTCGCCTAACATACTAATAAAGGTTTTTACTGAGGAATAAATCTAAAAAACATGAAATACAAGATTGCTTTTAAAGACAGGAATTATCCTGTCATTAAATGTGTCACACTAAAAGTATGGCATAAAAACATATATTTAATAGAAACGTTTTCCGAAACAGTCTCATCCGACAGCCTTTCTAATGTTCACAGTTGTTATTAAATTGTATACCTATTCTAAAGTAAAGCTTTGATGTTTTTGTTGCATTTCAGTTGCTTTCGACAAACGGGCTACATAAACACAAAACGTTGCTTCCTTTGAACCAAAGCAATCCTCTGTTTAGTAAAAACGTTTTTCATATCTGTACAAACGAAATATTATTTTTATTTTTCTACCTTGCTCGGTAAAAGAATATGTTAGTGAAAATATTGTTTTAACTTCCCTTTTGATTTTCTTAATAACATCTTCGTACATGATTAGAGATTAAGCGATATGTTTATAGTAGGTTATTTATAACATCATAATAGTTGTGTTAAGTTGATAAAATGGTGGCAGTTATTTGTTGATGTTCACTTATCCGACTATCCGCAGTGGGGTCGTTTGACAACTAACACAGCCTTACAAAAGCCCCTGTTCAAGTGGAAGTATTATATACTTTAGTGTCTCGTCTTGTGAGTGAGGTAGCCAGGGCCATGTCCTAATTATTGAACTTGTGGTAAAAGAGTATTTAACAAGACGTAATAAACAAACTTCTGCAGTCGTAATAGTATCCATCTATGATAAAAAGTAACATTGCCAAATTGGATAGATATGACCTATCTCAATAACAGCGAATCTACCGAATGGTCATCTCGAGTATTTATGTTAATGTAAATAAATAATATCGTAACAAGTTCGTCGTTCAAATAAAAATTAGCTATATGGCTGTGACTCATATAACGCAAAGCTGGATTCAAAACGCTTACAATTAGATACAATATTATTGGTTGATAATGGACTAAATAATTTTAAGAAGCTTGTGTTCCTTCGATCCTGGACTGTAAAAGGATGCTGGTGAAAAGGAAAGGGCTTTCATTACATAAATTGCACGCCTACCTTAGTAACTGCAAGGCGCCTTCTCCGTAGCTACTTCAGGATTCAACTCCAGATGCAGATGTTGTCGAGGTGGCGGTCGGTCGAATTTGCGGTTGTCCTTTCCTTTAGTGCGCACAAAGCTTCCCTATCACCTTTAATATATTTTATAAGATCGCGGCGCGGTAGTTAGTATTCTATTACTTTTGTGCCGACTGCTCTCGGCGCATTATATATGTAATACGTAGGCGTGCGGGGGAGGGGGGGGTAAGAACGCCCGAGAAGGATTTAAGAGTTTAGAGGGTAAATGTGGTTTTTTTTTGAGAAACGGCGCTAACATCCCCCCGGCCCTAAAGGGTTGCCTTTAAGGAATTATATTAATATAAAATATAAAATATAATACATTTACGTATCCGCTGCGTGTTAGTATATGATAAAGCTATATTAAAAATATATGAAATTATTTGTATGAGAATTAATAATACGAAAATACAATATATATATACCTACTATAACTATGTACTTAGCCTAAGCATCAAGCCGGCTATTGATTTGGTAGTGGGCACAAGCGCACCACTGGACGTATAAAGCTGCCTTTGGCAGTTTTTACAGTAACGACTCGTGCTTTTCCGTCTTTAGAAAAGTGAACCCTTTCCACGACTCCCAGCGGCCAAGACAGAGGGGGCGCGTTGTCGATGATAATAACCACTACCGTTCCTTCTCGTATGGGTACAGAAGGTGTGTTCCATTTAGCTCTTTCTTGCAATTTATGCAAGTAGTCACTACGCCATCGCTGCCAGAAACTCTGGACAAGATGATCTAACAGAGAATGTCGCTGGATTAAGCTTAAAGAGTTCGTGTCCGTCGCAGGTATCGATGCTAACGGGACAGTATTTAAAAAATGCGCGGGCGTGAGTGCGGATGGTTCCGCTGGATCACTACTCATGGCGGTCAAAGGACGCGAATTAAGGAGTGCCTCAATTTGCGTCAAGACTGTCAAGAGCTCTTCGTAAGAGAGGATTTGTTGACCTATTACCTTGAAGAGGTGTGACTTAATAACCTTAATCATGCTCTCCCAACAGCCGCCAAAATGAGGGGATGCAGGTGGTATGAATTTCCATTCAATGCGGTTCTCAGCAAGCTCTTCCTGAAGGTGAGGTCTATACTCAGTGTCAAGAAATTTATATAGATCTCGTAAGTAAGAGTGCGCACCAACGAAGCAAGTCCCGTTATCTGTGTAAAGACACTTTGTCGGGCCGCGGCGAGAGAGAAATCTCTTTAAAGCAGCCAAAAATGACGGAGTACTTAAATCTGTTGCAATTTCAATATGCGTAGCGCGTGTTGTTAAGCAAAGTGAATACGCACAACCAAGCTTTACGACTCCTTACACCACGTGCACGAATAGGCGTGTATTGTAGGGGACCAGCGTAATCGCAACCAGTATGCGTAAAGGGCTTTTGATATTGATTCACGCGATGACTAGGAAGATCAGCCATGGGCGGCAAAACGGGACGTGGCTTAGACTTAAAACAAGTATTACATTTGTGTATTATGTGACGAATAATTCGTCTAGCGGCGAGTATCCAATATTTACTCCTTAGTGAGGACATAAGCAACTCTGGTCCGGCATGTAAATATTTTTTATGATAATATTCAATAAGTAATTCTACAATTCGGTCGTGACGCGGTAATATATATGGATGTTTGTAGTCGAAGTGTTCGGAGGAGTTTGAGAGTCGGCCCCCAACACGAATGATATTATTTTCATCGAGAAATGGACTAAGCTTGCAAAGCGTTGAGGAACAACGTTTATTATATTTTAGAGACTCGATCTCTTTTGCGAAATGCAAATTCTGCAGATAAGAAATAAGTTTGTTTTCCGCGAATTGCAAGTCGCAACTAGAAACGAATTCACGGACAGAAGGTTTTTTTATAAAGCGATACATGTACACTATTATACGTAACAATTTTGACCATGACGATACTCGTTGCACAAGTCTACTTAGCGAACATTCAGAGACGTCTGTTGTAACTACATGCACGGTAGACTTATGCTCTGGAATACCATCAATGGGCTCATTATGATCGAAAGTATTGATAGGCCACTCTGAGGGATTTCGGGAAGCCCATGGAGGGCCATTATACCATAAGTCGTGGTCAATTAGACTCTTTGGAGTAAGTCCACGCGAAAGGCAATCAGCGGGATTCTCGGAGCCGGCAACGTGATAAAACCGATTGGCGGGGATAAGTTCAGTCAGTGTTACTACGCGATTGGCGACAAAGGTTTGCCAACGGTGTGGTGATGAATTTATCCACGCAAGCACTATTTTAGAATCGCTGAAGGCGAATAACTCTTTCACCTTGTATCTAGAGGATATATTGTCCGAAACCTTTCGAAGCAATCTAGCTAACAGGACTGCTGCACACAGTTCTAGTCTCGCGACCGAAATAGTTTTTATGGGAGCAACCTTAGACTTTGCACACAGAAGTTGCACATTATATTTGTGGTCATTTTGTACCTGCACGTACACGACGCCTCCGTAAGCACGCTCGCTGGCATCGGCAAAACCTGATGAGCCGTATGTCACATCCCTTACTTATACCAAGGTGACGAGGGATTCGTAAACTATTGAGTGCGTAGAGTTCAGAACAATACTGATTCCAAGCAGAAACTATATGATTCGGTGGTACGTCATCCCAATCACATTTTAGCAACCAAAGGTCCTTAATTATGAGCTTGGCATACAAAATGGAGGGAGCAGCAAACCCCATTATATCCCAGAGTCTAGCAATTGTAGACAGAATTGTGCGCTTGGTGCATTTATCATGTGGTGTGTAAACCCTAAAGTAGAAGCAGTCATTTGACCTATCCCAATGCATACCCAAAATCTTCTGCGGTATCGAACGCTCGAATTCAACTTCCTGAGGGGCCTTATGGGAGTCAGGAATATGTGCCAGGACATCATTATAATTACTTGTCCATTTAATGACATCGAATTGCCCCAACTTAAAGAATTGAATAAGTTCTTTAGAAATCGCTTCCGCTTGTGACGCTGTCATTACACTAATTGCTAAGTCGTCCATGTATAATGCGGAAGAAACAGCGGAGGCAGC